CTAAAAACTAAAACAAAAAATCCCAATTAGCCACTAATAGAAAAAAAAATTATAGGAGTAATTTAAATCCCTCTCTTCCTTCCCTTCCTTTCCTTGCTCCATTTTGTAATAGCCTTTCCTTGAAAACATAACCATTTCAATTCTGTGCATTTCTTTGTTATTTTAAATTTACTTTCTCTGAAGCAAGTTTACTTTCCCTGAACAGATTCTTTTCAGCCTCTCTTTGTGCCTAAAGGAGCTGCTGCACCTCATGGTCCTGCTCCTGTTGGTGAGTCTGCTTTTCAAGCAATTAAAGTCACTTGGATGTGGGTTCCAAGCCAGCAGCTCCCTTCATGCTACGCAGCTTCTGCATACAAATACAGCAATATTTATTTGTAAACATAATGGAGCATTAAAACTCATGCTAACAGAAATATATAGAAATATTCTGTGACATTTTTCAGAAGAGAAAGTGAATGGTGAAAGCTAACAGAGGGATTTAAATTACTCCTATAATTTTTTTTTCTATTAGTGGCTAATTGGGATTTTTTGTTTTAGTTTTTAGGGGTTAGGTTGCTTCTTGGATTTTTGTGGTTTTGCAGAGTAGTAGTAGTGGGTTTTTGATTTTTTGATTTCTTTAATACCATTTTTTATTTTTTTAGTACTTTCTTTTGTTTTTCGCTAAGCCTTCTTCCTTTCATTATGTTCTAAACCAATAACATTTTTGTAATCATCTCTCTTTGCAAACATAACCGTTTCAGTTCTGTGCATTTGCTTGCTTTTTAAAATTTTCCTTCTCTGAAGTAAACTTACTGTCTCTGAACAGATATTTTTTGGGTTAGCGTTGCACCCCAAGCAGCTGTTACACTTTCTACTCCTCTTCCTCCTCCTGATGCTAAGTCTGCTTTTCAAGCAATTAAAGTCACTCCGATGTGGGTTCTTAGCCAGCATCTCCTACCATGCTGCACAGCCTTTAAGGCAAATACAGCAGTATTTAATTAGAAACATAACGGAGGAATTAAACTAGTACTAACAGAAATGTGTAGATTTGTTTCAGTAGAAAAAGAGGCTGGTGAAAGCTAACACAGGGATTAAAATTACTACTGTAATGTGTTTTTCTATTAGTCCCTATTTCCTTGTGGTTTTTATTTGTTTTAGTTTGGGTCTGGATGCTTGGTTGCTTGGATATTTTTTTAGTTTTTGGGGAGTGGTGGTGGTGGATGGGTGTGTTTGGTTTTGGGTTTCTTTTTCTTTTATTACTACTTTTCTTTCTTTGATTTGTTTAAACAAGGTTTTTTCCTTTCTTTATATTATAAACCATAAGCATTTTGTAATAGCCTTTCCTTGCAAACATTGCCATTACACCTTCTGCTCCTGCTCCTGCTCCTGCTCCTGCTCCTGCTCCTGCTCCTGCTCCTGCTCCTGCTGGTAAGTCTGCATTCAAGTAATCATATCACTTGGATGTGGGTTTCTAGACAGCATCTCCCTTCATGCAGTACAGATCCTGTAGTCAAATGTAACAACACTTAATTGTAAAAATAACAGAGCAATACAATTAATGCAAACAGAAATGTTTGAAGACATTTTTCAGATGAGAAAGGGGATGGTGAAAGCTAACACAGGAATTAAAAATACTCCTGGAATGGGTTGGGGTTTATTCTATTGGTCCTTAATTTACTTAGAAATTATTTTGTTTTTTGTTTAGGTTTAGTTGCTTGGTTGGTTGGAATTTTTTGGTTTGGGGAGTGGTTCTGTTGCATGGGTGGCTGTTTATTTATTTTTTTTATAATTATTTATTACTACTCTTAATTTCTTGCCTGTTGTCTTGCCTGGATTTTTTTGGTTTTTTTAACCAAAGCCCTTTTCCTTTGTTTCTGTTATAAACCATTAACATTTTATAATTGCATTTCCTCGCAAACATAACCCTTTCAGTTCTGTGGGGTTTTTACCTTTTTTTTTTTTTTAAATTACAGTAGTATTTACTTGGTTTTATATTTAGAGAATATAAATTTATATTCTCTAAACAGTTACTTTTCAGCCTTCCCAAGCAGCCAGTACATCTTCTCCTACTCCTGCTCCTTCTCCTGCTCCTGATAGTAATTCTGCTTTTCAAGCAATTAGAGTGACTTGGAAGAATGCTTCTAGCCAGCATCTTCCTTCATATGGCACAGCTTCTAAGGCAAATACAACAATACTTAAATGTATTGTTTCATCATTAAATCTAATGAAGAAACAACACTGTTCTTAACAGAAATGTGAGACCTTCTAAAGAAGAGAAAGGGGATGGTGGAACCTAACAGAGGGATTGAAATTAATACTGTAATTTTTTTGTTTTTTGCTTTTGGTTTTTGTGGGGGTTTTTTTGTTCTAATTTTCTTGGAAATTTTATGTTTTCAGTAGGAGCTTAGTTGTTTGGTTGTGTTTTTTTGGTTTTGTGCATGATGTATGGTGTTTGGTTTTAATTTTTTCATTTATTTTTTATTTCATTCTTTTCTGTTTCTACTTTTTTTTTTTCCTAATAATAGCATTTATTATCTTTCTGCTACAAATCATTAACATTTTTGTAACAGCCTTTCCTTTCAACCATTTCAGTTTGGTGCATTTCCTTGGTTTATAAAAATCTCCCTTCTCTATAGTAAGCTTACTTTCTCTGTACAGAATCTTTCCAGATTTTCTCTGTACCCCAAGGAAGCAGTACACCTCATGGTCCTGCTCCTGATGGTAATTCTGCTTTTTAAGCAATTTTACTCACCCGAACGTGGGTTCATAGTCAGAATCTACTATCATGTTGCACAGCTTCTGTATCTAAATACAAAAATATTTAATTGTAAAGATAATGGAGCAATAAAATAAGTACAATCAGAAATGTTCTGAGACTCATTTCAGAAGATAAATATTTCAGGATACTGAAAACTAAGACAGGGATTAAAATAACTATTACAATTTTTTTTTCTATTAGTCCCTATTTGCTTTGGTATGTTTGGTTTTATCTTGGGTTTGATTGTTTAGCTGGTTAGTTGGAGTTTTTGGTATTGGCAAGTAACAGTGTTAGTGGTGACTGTTTGGTTTCTGATTTTTTTTAATTGCTTCTTTTAGTTTGGTTTTTTCCTATTTTTTTCTTTTCCCTCTTTCTGTTGTATGCAATTAACATTTTTGTAATAGCCTTTCCTTGAAACCACAACCATTTCAGTTCTCTGCCTTTCCTTGGTTTTAAAATTTATATTCTCTGAAGTAAATTTACTTTCTCTGTACAGAATATTTTCAGCTTCACTTTGTACCTCAAGGAACCAGGACACCTCATGGCCCTGCTCCTGATGGTGAGTCTGCTCCTCACCTTCCTCACCTCCTCACCATGCAAAACCAACACAGCTACTGTGAAAAAAAGAAAAAAAAAGCTACTGCTGCAGCCTTTGCCCTTCTGTTAACAGCATGGCTGGCTAAGAACAGCTAAGCAAATAAAGTTCACAAAAGAGAATTTCTAAACTATTGAGATGATCACAGATATACAAGAATGGAGATATCAGTACGGGCAAAACCAGAAGGATGCATTGACAATGTTTACTAAGCTGGAAGTGTCTATAATGCTGAATACACCAAGCTGTGATGTCTCCCATAAAATACTTCTTTACTGGAGTATTTGCAGTTCTTACCTGATTTTAATCAACTGAAAGTCAGCTTGACCAGAGTTATAGCCAAGATTTCCAGCTGCTTCAACCTGAAACTGATCTATCCTCCAATCTGATACGCCACAGAACTAACACTGTGTCTGAATCTGACACAGTCTCTAGTGTGACACCCTACAGAACCTACACTGTGTCTGGAACCGACGTGCCCCCCGGTGTGTCATCCTACAGAACCCATACTCTGTCCGGAACCAACATAGCCTTTCCTTGTAAACATAATAATTTCTGTTCTGTGCATTTCCTTCTATTTTAAATTTGACCTTCTCTGAAGTAAATTTACTTTCTATGAACAGACTCTTTTCTGCTTCACTTTGTACCCCAAGGGACCAGTACACCTTGTGGTCCTGCTCCTGATGTTAAGTCTGATTTTAAGCAATTAAAGTCACTTGGATGCGGGTTCAGAGCCACCACCTCCCTTCATGCTGCACAGCTCCTGCAGGCAAATATAAAAATAAATAAATATAAAGAAAATGGAGCAATAAAACCAGTGCTAACAGAAATTTTCTGAGAATTTTTTCAGAAGGGAAGGGTGATGGTAAAAGCTAACACAGACATTAAAATGAGTACCTGAAATGTTTTTTTCTTTTGGCCATGATTTGCTTGGGTATGTTTGGTTTTAGTTTGGGTCTGGTAAATTGCTTCATTGACATATCTTTGGTTTTTGACAGTACTGATGGATGGGTGGATGGGTGTCTTCTTTTGGTTTTTTATTACAATTATGTTTTAATATATTTTTCTTTTACTAAACCCTTTTTCAATTCTTTCTGTTTCATAATATTAAAGACTCTCTAATAACATATGTCTGCAATCATAGCAATTTCACTTCCGCATATATCCATGTATTTTAAAATTTAATTTCTCTGAACAGACTCTTTTCGACTTCACCTTGTACCACCTCGTGGTCCTGCTCCTGCTTATCAAGCAATTAGACTCACTTGGATGTGGGTTCCAAGTCAGCATATCCCTTCATGCTGCATGGATTCTGTATGGAAATACAACAATATTTATATAAAGGAGAAACAAAACTGGTGCTAACAGAAATCTTCTGAGACATTTTTCAGAAGAGAAAGTTAGCACAGGAACCAAGTTTTTTGTCAGGGAGACTACTGCATATGTTTATCTACTTGATTTAAAAAACAAACAATAGGAAATATAATTATGAGGGGTAAAAGATATCTGGAAGTATTTGCAGAGCATCAATGTGCTATTAATTTCCAGCGCTTCCTAGGGCATGATACCTGTAATGACCTATGTGAATTTCAGATTAATACATATATTCAGGTGACTTTCATTGAAAATAAGCACATGAAGCAAACAATTATATGCACTTCACAGGCATACATGTATGAGAGGTGTTTGCAACAAATATAGATTCTATCCTGATTTGGATTTTCTCTTGTTTATTTCTTCCAGCCCACTGGGGAGAGCCTAGACAGCGAACATACATGGTGTCTGAATCCGACACAACCTCTGGTGCGTCACCCTACAGAACCTACACTATGTCTGGAACGGACACAACCTCTGGTGTGACACCCTACAGAACCTACACTATGTCTGGAACGGACACAACCTCTGGTGTGACACCCTACAGAACCTACACTGTGTCTGGAACGGACACAACCTCTGGTGCGTCACAGAACCTACACTGTCTCTTGAAGTGACACAGCCTTTCCTTGCAACCAGATCTGTTTCAGTTCTCTGCATATCCTTGTTCTTAAAACTTACCGTCTCTGAAGTAAATTTACCTTCTCTGAACAGATTCTTTTAAGCTTCCATTCTTACCCCATGGAACCAGTACACCTCGTGGTCCTGCTCCAGCTGGTGAGTCTGATTTCAGTGCAGTTAAAGTCTCTTGGATGTGGATTCCCAGCCAGCATTTCCCTTCATGCTGTACGGATTCTGTAGGCAAATACAGCAGTATTTATATAATGGAGTAATACAACAGGTGCTAACGGAAATCTTCTGCGGCTTTTGTCAGAGGAGAAAGGGCATGGTGAAAGCTAGCACAGGAATTAAAATTTTTGTCAGGGAGGCTAGAATAAGTTTCTTTGCTTGATGAAAAAAACACACTCAAACAATTCTAAAGATGAGGGGGGGTAAAAGATGTCTGTAAGTATTTGTTTCACTTTGCATAAAGTGTTATTGTTTTCCAAACCTTCCTAAAGTGGCATATATGTGCTTATGTCAATTCTTTATTAAAGATTAACATTTCTCTCCAGGTGCTGTGTGTTTCAAATAACCACTTAAAACAAGAAGCAATCACTTATAAGTACTTCACATAGGTACCTTTGTGAGAGGTGTTTCCAATGAAAGTAGATTCTCTCCTGATATGTTTTTTATTCTTCATTATAATTCCAGCACACTGGGGAGCACCTAGACAACGAACGTACGTGGTGTCTGAATCCGACACAACCTCTGGTGTGACACCCTACAGAACCTACACTATGTCTGGAACGGACACAACCTCTGGTGTGACACCCTACAGAACCTACACTATGTCTGGAATGGACACAACCTCTGGTGTGACACCCTACAGAACCTACACTGTGTCTGGAACGGACACAACCTCTGGTGCGTCACCCTACAGAACCTACAATGTGTCTTGAAGTGACACAGCCTTTCCTTGCAACCAGATCCATTTCAGTTCTCTGCATGTCCTTGTTCTTAAAACTTACTGTCTCTGAAGTAAATTTACCTTCTCTGAACAGATTCTTTTTGGCTTCCATTCTTACCCCATGGAACCAGTACACCTCGTGGTCCTGCTCCAGCTGGTGAGTCTGATTTCAGTGCAGTTAAAGTCTCATGGATGTGGATTCCCAGCCAGCATTTCCCTTCATGCTGTACGGATTCTGTAGGCAAATACAGCAGTATTTATATAATGGAGTAATACAACAGGTGCTAATGGAAATCTTCTGCGGCTTTTGTCAGAGGAGAAAGGGCATGGTGAAAGCTAGCACAGGAATTAAAATTTTTGTCAGGGAGGCTAGAATAAGTTTCTTTGCTTGATGAAAAAAACACACTCAAACAATTCTAAAGATGAGGGGGGGTAAAAGATGTCTGTAAGTATTTGTTTCACTTTGCATAAAGTGTTATTGTTTTCCAAACCTTCCTAAAGTGGCATATATGTGCTTATGTCAATTCTTTATTAAAGATTAACATTTCTCTCCAGGTGCCGTGTGTTTCAAATAAGCACTTAAAACAAGAAGCAATCACTTATAAGTACTTCACATAGGTACCTTTGTGTGAGGTGTTTCCAATGAAAGTAGATTCTCTCCTGATATGTTTTTTATTCTTCATTATAATTCCAGCACACTGGGGAGCACCTAGACAACGAACGTACGTGGTGTCTGAATCCGACACAACCTCTAGTGTGACACCCTACAGAATTTATAGCATCTCTGAAACCAACATACCCCACTGTGTGGTACCTAGCAGAATCTACAGTTTGTCTGAAACCAACATACCCTCCAGTGTGACACCAGGCAGTACAGGTGTTGGGTCATCAATGGACATATCCTCCCATGTGATACCCGGCAGACCTTACCGTGTGTCTTCAGCCAACACATCCAATGTGACACCCAGCAGAAGAGGCATTGGGTCATCACTGGATACATTCATCAACCTAATACCAACCACAACCGATACTGGGTCATCAATGGATGGGGTCATCAATGGATGCATCCTCACGCATGACACAAAATAGAACTTTTACCGTGTCTTCAGTCAACATGCCCTCCAGTTTTACAGAGAACAGAACTGGTACTGGGTCTTCAGTCAACACATCCTTCCATTTCTGACCACACAGAACCAGTTCTTTGCCTTCAGTCAGATCTTCCAGCCAGGATGTCTCATCCAGCACCAGGAGAAATCAGGGAATTTAATTATTGGAGTCCTGGTCATGTCCGTTTTCATAACCAATATCATACCTTCTCTTCAAATGGGAAAAACTCCAACAATGTAGAAAGAGCTAATTAAAGTACAGTTGTACCTACCTTTTGTTGTAGTTTATTGTACGTGATTTTTTTGTCCATAATTTCACATTTTTAGAAAATGTGCATTCATATCTTCACATTTCTGTGTTTCTAATTTGTATTATACCAAAACACTTTTTATTGCAGCTGTTAATTTTTATGTAGTGTACTAAAATATCATAAAACAACATCTTTAGGGTAGTTTTCGTCATTTGTAAAAAAACATCCACAAGCCATTTTAGTTTCTTCCTCTCAAAGTTGTTTCATACATGCCTATTTTAAACCAAGACTACCATACGTTAATAGGATTGAGAGGGGGTCCATGAAATGTACACCAGTGATTCCTCTTGTGGAATGTCATGGCCCTGCCATGAGCCTCTTCTTTCTTTCCTCTTTTTTTTTTTTTCTTTTTTCTTTTCTCTCATCACTTCAACTGCAGACACACATTCAGTTGCAAACATAAGCCAGAGCAGCAAAATAAAAATGTGACCAGCCTTTGGGAGCACCCTTGCTGATCTTTCTGCTTTTTCAGTTGAGCAAGACAGTCAAAGAGATTGCACTTAGTGATGCACCTACAGTTCCTTGACAGGAACTCTATTGATTTCTAGTAACAGCTGGAGGCCTGTATCTCCACAGGATGTTTTGGCTGTCCCATGCTTTATTGGGTTTTGACTGCAAATACCATTGCCCTTGATTTCTTATCTAAAAGTACCATAGCTGGGCAAAAACTGCCCAGTGGGCCACATTCCAATGGCAGTTTGGTCTGGAGTTTGTGAATGAAGGAGACCTTTATCCAATTCCAAACCACATTAAGAAACAGTCATTAAAAAGAACTTCCCATCCTTAACAAACAACTGACACTTCAGAAGTGATTGTAGAGCTTATTGGCAGAGAGATAAAGAAGGCAATCTTCCAGTTGAGTTGTGATTTATGGAGTTTTTATTCTGACTCCCACTCATAACTGGCACTGGAGAAAGCCATGTCCCTAGAAGTATCAGTGTCTTCTGTCTGCTATAAATTGTTTTGCTGCAATCATCAGAGGCATCAGGTTGGAGAGAAGCTTGGCTGCTGTTAGGAACAGAAGCTGCCCCATGGAGAAAAAATAAATTAACTTCTACTTCCCAAACCCATCTCCCCACACTCTCAAACAGGATTCCTCTGCGTAGTGGTTTAGATTAGGCAATTTCTGAATGTGAGGAGCCATTCCATGGATATGAATAGAGAAAAGAGCCTGGTTACTGAGAGGGGAGAGAAAATGCCAGTCTTCTTACAAAAGAGTAATAATATTGAGATGAAAGAGATAAAAGAAAATTTGGCCAATTTGTTCTTCAGATTTGTGAACCATTCAAATATTCCCTTGACAGAGTCATGTTCTTGCATTGTATGAAAGGTTGCACACTCAGCTGTGCTGTAAATAGGAGGAAAGTGCTTCTTGTCCATAAATTTGAGGTAACATGGAGATACATAAGACTGAAAGCAGCACTTTTTGCATATTTCTAGTGCCTCTGCCATCTGAATATCCAGTGTTCTCCACTGCACAGCCTACACATTTCCAGTTCCTATAGGACATAATTTTCTGTTTATAATCACCTGAATAATGATACGGGTGCTTATTTGATAATTACACATTCTATGTTGGTTTAAACAATTTCTAGATTTGTGGCAGCCAAATTAATATTGCTGCTCAACTACTGGGACAAGGAAATGTTAAGCTTGAGTTTGAGGTTGCCATGAACAGTTGACAATGATGTGTGTACAAGTGTTATGCTCCTCCCACCAGCCTGCAACTCCACAAACCAGCCATGATGGTGTACTAAATGATGTTTACAGGATGCCTTTGCATAGGTCAGGTTCCTGGAGGTGAGGGTGCAGTCAGAAGAAGATGCACGAAGCTCAGACGTGTTTTATTTGGAATTTAGATGTGATGTGATTTAAAATGCAGAAAATTAAATTACTGGTTTTGGTTCAGAAGGATTATGTATTTTGGTCTCAAAGAGATTAGGTTAAAAGACAAAGATTGGTAAATGGTGATAAATGTTAAGAATGCTTGGAAAATTTCTTATTTTGCAATAAATGGAGTGCAAGTCAAATTTCAGCACAAAATGAGAGTAGAAAATAATCTATATTAATTAACTTCATTTGGGAATGCATTCTAAAATTATGGTATTGCGTCAAAATTTAGTGCCAACCTCTTACTTCAGTATGTTTATTATAAAATGTCTAAATAAAAAAACTCCATAAAACCCTTTAAATCCATTAATATCAAAAAGAAAAAGGAAGTGCCTGATAAAATGTCATGCATTTGGGCTATGAGTATATGCAGGAACTGTAATGACACACAGTGATGGTGTTCCCCCTGGCGTATTTGTGCCAGTCACACAATTGGGGGTTGAATACATGCTGTAGAGCCACAGTAGTGCAGTGAGAACTCAGTACAGAAACACCCTGTTGGGGGTTAGGTGTCCTTCCATTTGTTCCATCTCACCTATAGAATTTTCCCAGTTAGCAATGGGAAACCTGACTGCTGGTACTTACTGGGTACTAGAAAAGAGTTTGGCCAGGCCAAGGGGGGAAGGGGGACAGGTAAAAAGATAGGGGGGTACAACTGCAAGCTGGCTTACTTCTTAGGCTTCAGGGCTTCAACACAGAGCTGGTGCTCTTGTTCTTCTTGTTCTTGTTTTCGTGTTCTCCTGGTTCTTATTGTTCTCTGTTGTTGTTCTTTTTCTTCTTCTTTTTCTTCTTCTTGTTCTTCTTCTTGTTCTTGTTCTTCTTCTTCTTCTTGCTCTTTTTGCTTTTCTGCTTCTCATTCATCTTCATCATCTTCATCTTCTTCTAGTTCCTATTCTTCTTCTTCTTGTTGTTCTTGTTCTTCTTGTTTTCTTCTTCTTCTTCTTGCTCTATTTACTCTTCTGCTTCTTCTCATTCACCTTCTTCTTCTTCTTCTTCTTCTTCTTCTTCTTCTTCTTCTTCTTCTTCTTCTTCTACATCTTGTTCTTCTTGTTCTTCTTGTTCTTCTTGTTCTTGTTCTTCTTGTTCTTCTTGTTGTTCTTCTTTTTCTTCTTGTTTTCTTCTTATTCTTCTTCTTTTGTTCTTCTTCTTCTTCTTCTTGTTCTTGTTGTTCTTCATGTTTGTGTTCTTGTTCTTGTTCTTGTTCTTTTTCTTGTTGTTCTTTTTGTTCTTTTTCTTGGTCTTCATCTTCATCTCCTTCGTCTCCTTCTTCTCCTCCTTTTCTTATCTTCTTGTTCTTTTTCTTCTTGTTCTTCTTCTTCTCCTTATTTTTGTTTTTCTTGTTCTTCTCATACTTAATCTTCTTGTTCTGCTTCTTCTTGCTCTTCTTCTTATCTAGTTCTTCTTCATCTAGTTCTTCTTGTTCTGCTTCTGCTTCTGCTTCTGCTTGTCTTTTTTCTCTTTCTTCTTCTGTGGGCCCCACACTCCCTGTCCTGCTGGGACATGCTGCCATACCCACCACCACCGTGGAGATAGTGATACACCTCATCCACCAGCCCAAGATTTCTACTCATTCCTGCTGTTCCTTCTGGGTGTTCTTCCAAGTCCTGCAGGGGCACTGGGATGGATGCCTGCAAGGAGTTTGTGAAGCAAAGCCTCTCCTCAATCCTTTCCTGTCTCAGCTGAGAAGGCTGTCACAGTTTCCCTGGTTCTATTTTGTTGTTAACGCTGTAGTTGTTGTTGTTTGTTTGCCTTGTTATACATACTAGTAAAGAACTGTTATTCCTATCCCCAAATTTCTGCCTGAGAGCCCTTTAATTTCAAAATTATAATAATTTGGAGTGACGGAGTTTACGTTTTTTATTCCAAGGGAGGCTCCTGCACCTAGCAGACACCTGTCTCTCAAACAAAGACACACCCTCAGCACCTCTCTGCTCTGTCCTGGCCCTTCAAACGCTTTCTCAGGTCCCACAGCTTGCAGCTGCAGCCTGGGGCTCACAGGGAGCCATGAGTGTCCTGAGTCTCTTGCTGGCAGGTTTGTGATGGTATTGGTGGGGGTTTCCTCCTCTTCCTTGGGAGGAGGAACACACTAATGTTGGTAACCCCTTCCTACCTGGCTTTGGGTCCACCCAAGTTTGTTTTCATAGCTTTCCTCCCCAAAATCTGCCCACAAGCTCCTTTTTATCCCCTTGGTTCCCAGTTCTGCAGTTTTTCTGGGTTTTCTGTTGTCTCCAAACCTGATGAAGCTGGGGGACCCTGCAGTGACCTGTGCCCTGGCTGGTCTCTGTCCCTGGGCTGTCCCTGCACTCCTCTCCAGTCTACTGAAGCTGTGGGGTTTCACCCCACACAAAACAACTCCTGGCAGTGTGAGCTCAAGAGAAGCTGCACCAAAGCAGCCTGTGCTCTCCTGCTTGTGAGAGAGCAGCCCCAGGGCTGGAGTGGCTGGGGCTGGACAGAGCCCAGGGGAGTCTGGAGACACTGCAGTGTCTGGCCAAAGCAGAAATCATGTCACTGGTAGCACCAAAGTGTCGCATTTCTTGGGCTTAGGGCACAAAAGATCCAGGACAGTGACAGCATGAGGATGAGGGGATGTGGGACTCGTCAACCTGCGGTGCTGGGAGAACCTGCTTTTCCCGTGCACTTGGAACAGATGTGGAGTATCCCCCAAGACATCTTCAGAATGGTCTTTGCTGTGACCTTTTCTTGTGCTGCTGCAGATTTTGGAGACAGTTATGCATATAAACGTCTCCACAGTTATGCATATAAATGTGTAATACAACCAGAA